TGTATTTTTTTTTATCTTAACTGAAGGAAGTAAAATTTGATACAATCATTTCTGAGCTCCTCGTAAAAATCCCGCTGACTCTTAAAGGTCTTGCACTAAACGTAAACATCCTTCGTCGTGATTTTTTTAAACTCTGAAGCAAGAAACGAAATTTTTTTGGTAAGATCTAAGTTATTTAGAGATCGTAAATGGCGGGATGGTGATATGTGTGTGGTGGCTTTGTGATTAACGATTACTTTACTTTGGTGTCCACCTCGACGGTAGGGTCAGGCAGTGAACTGGTGCCAGCTCAAGTATTGATCTCCTGGGAGGTATCAGGCCGGGTCTTGAATGAGTGGGTCAGATTGGGAAGGCGGGAAACATTAGCTGAGCTTGGGGTTAGAAGCGTTCAGTAGGAGGAGGAGGAAGAGAAAGAAGCACAATTTTAAACAGATCAGGAAAAAAAGAAGAAGAAAAGCAAACAGAAAAGGGGGAGCATTCCGAATGAATAGCAACATACAGTCTTTCAGAACACCTCTCGCTTATTTCGTCTATTGACAAACATGAAGGATCCTGCCTACACACATACACACACATATACACATACGCTCACACATACATAAACACGTACACATGCACATACATAGACATACACATGTTTATTTTAGGGTTAACTCAACTTTTCGAATTTAAGCGCAGTACTAGTTTGGCAGTTAGGTCCCATCATTTTACAAATGAAATGACTTGAGATGCAACCGTTTCTTCCCTCGAACTTCTCGTTTGTATAACTCTCTTCCGGTTTCTTGCTTTCCTGTCAAATTTCATCTTCAAAAATTTAAATGCAATGTCTATCATCATTTTCTGTCTCTTAAATTCCTGTTCTTTTATTCTCCTCTCACCTTAATAATGTTTATTTTTTTCTCAGATTCTTTCATACTTAGTAACCCCTTGCATCTTAGTGGATTTATCACCTTGTTTGGAATTAAATGATTTAAAGAAAATTAGCACACCACTCTGGTTCTGAATTCTGAGCTGTCCACCTCCTAGACTGGTTGCCAGCCAAGGCTAGGGAGTTCAGACTGTCCTGTTATTTAACCCGTAGGCTGTGGGAGAAGTGATGAATTTATAACTTTCCCAAGTCGTTAGTGCGAAAGTGGAGGTAAATGAAGTATCTAGCAAATGCATCTGTTAATGTCTGATTCGTTAAATATTAAATGCAGATTTCCAGTGTCTTTGTCTTTCAAAAGCAAAAACAGTTGAAAAACGATTTTTCTCTGAAAACTTTTTCACCCACATAAAAGTTACTTCATCCTCAATGTGAAATATCTGTCTCAATTTCTGAGCTAATGAGTTATCAGTAATTATATAATCATTATAATCGGAGTAATATCCTCATCTTTGTTGTTACTTTCAAGACGTTTCGGCCGTTGTGCCTTCCGGTCTTCTTCAGTTGTCTATCGATCCGGGACAATAGGCTAGCGGATTAAAGCGTTGGTTGGGGAATTGGGTGGGGCATACTAATAGTTCAATCCCTGCACCGAGCAGTGCAGACTTAAACTCAGTGGGAACAAGGCGAGCAATAACTGAACAATATTAAATAAGTATTTGACAGGGAAAGAAGAACGAGAACAATCTAAACCCTTTTTTAATCAAAGGTTATGTTCGAAACACCTTCTTGGTTTCCCGGATTGACATAAACCTGAAGACAAACGCAAGCGCAGAATATTTTGTGATAATAACAACAAGGATGAAGATATTAGTTCGACTGTAAATAACGTAATCAACGTCACAAAGAACAATTGGAAGTGCTCGATAACGTTGCCAATTTTGAGAAGGATATTAGAATAATCCAGAACTTGTACTGGCAGCAAACCGCCAGCATACATATAGAAAATGAATTCAGTAAATATACAAAAATAAAAAAAATGGTGTAAGGCAAGGATGTGTCTTCTCACCAGACTTATTCAATTTATATAGTAAAGCGATTCTAAGAGAATTAAAAGTCCTACCAGGATTCATTGATGGCGGCTATTTCAGAAAAGCTAAGTAGATTTATTTTCATAGCACTGCCTACGAAACCAGATGCAAACGAATTTGAACTCTATCAGATATTCAGCCTAATGAGGCATATAACAAAACTTATCACCCGAATTCTGATGAATAGAGCTGAGAAGAATCAGACCAGAAATATGACGAAAACAATACGGATTCGTTAAAGACACAGTGTTGATAGCAGACACAGAAAGGAAATTACAAGAAATCCTACAAAAAGAGGTAAAGACAGCAAAATGAACAGACCAATATGCAAATTACAAATTAGAGATATTAATTAACATGGAAAGAAAAATAAGAACAATCGTCGCCCTTTTTAATGTTCGAAATACCCTGTCGGTTTCCCGGATTGACATAGACCCGAAGGAAAACGGAAGTCACAAGTGCAGAATATTTTGTGATAATAACAACAAAGATGAAGATATTAGTTCGACTGTAAATAACTTAATCAACGTAACTTCTTAACATTTTTACGTCACATAGAACAGTTGGGGAGGGTAGGTAACGTTGAGAAATTTAAGGATATTAGAATAATCCAGAACATATACTGGCAACATATAGATAGAAAATAAATTCAATAAATGCATAAAAACAGAAATGACTGAAAAAACAAGGATTGGTCTTCACACCTGACTTCAGCCTATGCAGTGAGGCGATTCTAAGAGAAATAGAACTCTTATCAGGATTCATTATGAGCGCTACAATATTAACAGCGTAAGATATGACACAGTATTGATAGCAGACAGAAAGGAAACTACAAGAACTCCTTCAGATGTTAGGGAAGGAAAGCAAGAAGAAAGGACTAAACAGCAATTGCAAGAAGACAGAATGCATGGTTGTTAGCAAAAGGGTCATCCCTACATGCAAATTACAAATTGGGGATGACAAATTCAAACAAGTACAACAATTTAACTATCTTGGAAGTATTTTAACAGAGAGCGGAAACTGAATTCCGAAAGCGTGTTGAGATAAAGAAAGATGCCTTCCAAAAGCCAATCAAAGCATTAATAGGAAAATTTCTTTAGAGACAAGAAATGTATACTGAACTCTTACGTAATGGTAGTCCTCTTATATATATCAGTGAATGCAGGGTAATCTGTTCGCAGATGAGAAAGAGGCTTGAAACAAATGTGGCTCTACAGAAAGATATTGAGAATTCCACGGACCGAACATGTGAGCAACGATGAAGTTTTTCGAGAAAATGGAAACAAAAAGCACAATTATACAATTGACATTTCTAAGGTACATGATGAGGAAAGATTGCTTGGAAAATTTGATATTCACAAGGCAGATTGAAGGGAGAAGGGACAAAGGAAATCAACATATAATCTACCTAGGGAGCTTGAGCAAGTGAATGACAAAATTAGGTTTAAGAGAAATAACAAAAAGATAAAATTTATTAAGTTCTACAAAGGACAGGAAATTGTGGAGAGACATGATCGTCTACGTCCTGATGGGACGCAACACATAGAAAAAGAAATAAATACAACTTAATGATAATTTGTGAGTAAACTTAAAAATTAGCATAAGAATAAATTTGATAATTAAATATTTTGATAAATATTTATTATTTTTCTTATTATAGTACATAATAGTATATCGTATATAGTATCTATCAAATTCTAGTAGACATTTCCATTCGGAGGAGTATCCTCATTTTCATTGTTATATTTATAACGTTTCTGCTGGCGAACCCACCGATTTTCTTTAACCCTAACCATTCACTCCTGATAACCTTCTGAAAATTTTGAAGCGAACACTTTATTCCGTTCACGAGAACTGAATAAATTCGGTACTTAAGGAATATTTCATATTATTATTTACCAATCGTACTCACTTTAAGTTGGTTTATCCGTTTCTTCCACTGAACTAGTGTAGGTTTCATAGATACATAGAACCATCACTGTATGGGTTCGGGTAGAAAAGTCAGTTCAATCCCTGTATGGGTTCAGTTAGAAAAGTCAGTTCAATCCCTGTATGGTGTCGGGTAGAAAAGTCAGTTCAATCCCTGTATGGTGTCGGGTAGAAAAATCTTTTCAATCCTCGTGTGGGGTCGGGTAGAAAATTCCGTTCAGTGAAGGACATGAACAATTGCCACAAAGACAGATTGATTGATTGACAAATAGATTGATTGATTCATTCATTGAACTGTTTTTACGGCTTTTCAATCCTTTCTTGGTTTATTTAAAGCCCGGACACATTTCGATTTGTAGGAGGTTCGCTTACAATCGCCCGTGTTCCTAAACCGTCTCCCTTCTAAGTAATGATCGGGTTCTATATTTAACTTCGGTGATCAAACGAGACCCGTTGTTTTTCAGTGTGATTTAACTGAAGATAAAATGACTAGAAAGAATTGCTATAAGACGCACCCACCAATGGATCCCGAAGTGAGAACAATCTAATCCTAGAGACTGAAAAAAGGTATTTGTTTGAAATATTCCTTGATCAGCGAGTAAGACAGATAGACATACTGATCCTAATGAGAAGGTACATAATCATGATAATTTGGCGATTAACATTCAAAATTCGTTGATAGCAGACCTCTTCAAATCACAAGACATTTGCTTAGTATCAGAATCTGGGCGATTTGAACGCTTGTTCTGATTCCTTATTCTTCTAATTTCGACTCTATTGTTTGAGGCAGGACTCCAACGATGTCAATTTTTATGCACCAGCTTCGAACATTCTAAATCCAAACTGTTTGCATTTAATTTGGCAATGTTTGAATAGTTTTCATACAATTTGATTTGCTCCCTGTGAACCGTTGGCGCAGATTTCCATCTCCGATTTCCCGGTTTCTGACTATCAAATTCGTTCTTCTCGCTTCGATGGGGCCGCCGGTCAGAATATAAATGTCTTTCTAAACAGCCTATGAAAAGTCCTCTTTTGAACATTGGCCTTTCCCAAATCCCTTGCCTTTTATGGGGATGAGGGGGCCGTTATCCACTACTGCAATGCACGTTGGTAAG